CACGCCGGGAAGAAGAAGAAGAAAAGAAACAAACGATTCAGGATCATCGGCGTTCTTTCTCGCGCGGATAGAGCATCATGGGTAACGGGGCCGACGACGGGGGGTAAGTTGGCCGGCGAAAATGTCGTTGATCCGAGTCGCAAGCCGTGGAACTGGTCGGCTGAGACCGCCTCGCGTGTGTATATATTGGGGTGAGAGGAAGGATCTCCCTCTCTTCTCTCTCGGGTTCTTCGACTTCGATCCAGACGAGACGGGAGCAGGGCCCCCGAAGTCCTCCTCTCCCTCCGGTGAACGGGGTGGAAGGAAGGAAGGAAGGAACCGACACTGGCCGAAAGGGGTGCACGCATGACCCTGAACCCGAACCGGCGCGCCACCCGTTACAGGGGTGCGAAGCTCCGACAAGCAGTGAATAGGTGGGGGGGGGGGGAGGAGAAAGAGACGGAAAGAGAGATAGAATGACCACGAAGGAACGATGGTAGAGGACGGGGAAAGTGGGGTGAGAGGGTACGTGTATATATGCCGAATAGAGAGAGAGACAGAGGGTGTAAGAGAGGGTGATGTGGAGAGAAAGAGAGAAACAGTCAGAGTACAGTCCCCGGGATCAATACTCCCGCGTCTTGCGATCATTCATCTTGCCACGCCCCTCTGTTCTCTCCACACTCTCCCTTACTCTTCCCTTCTCTCTCTCTCTCTCTCTCTCTTCCTCTGTTTCTCCTTCACCCTATGTTTCGCCCTCTTCTGTCTCTCTATCTTTCTCCTTCCATTTCTCACCACCACTCCCCCCTCCCACGTATCTGTCTCTTTCTCTCATCCTCCGGTTCCACCATCTTCATCCCCCGGGTGGCACCCCTCGTAATCGCGCTGCTCGGCCGCCGTTTGCCGCCCAATCCTGGTATCCATTACGGAACTTCTCGTGGGAAGAAAAAAAAAGAAGAGAGAAAAAATTCTCTTCCATCATATATTCCGTTCGTTTCCTTTTGAACATAATGCACAAATATCGTGATATATTTGGAGGTTACAGGATTTCGTTGGTGCGATTCTTCGGTCCTCGTTTCCATGGGAAGATTGTTTCCCAGAGAAACGGGGCGACCTTCATGGGGCGGTGTGGAAAAAGAGAGAGGGTGGGCCAGGGGGTGGAGAGAAGAGAATCGAGTATTGAGGTGGGCCACGGGACCCTGTCACACAGAGAGAGCGACATGGTTACCGGGGCGTCGAAATCAATAAATATCCCAGAAATGCGCGCGTGAAAGACGAAAGTGGGGAAGAGAAAGATAGAGAGCCAGGAATGGAGGACGAAGCAGGGCAGAAAGAAGAGGAAAAAAAAAGAAGGTGGAAATCGTTAGTAAGTACGTAGTAGCGTATATACGACGGCATAACGCGTAGTACGGCTGCACTTGACTCGTCGTTGCACGTGATTCAAATGAGTTTCTGGAGCCCGTCTCCCTACCACCCACACACATATAGCTAGCAAGCCGATAGAGGGAGCTGTGTATATACTAGGCCGGTCGGCGGGAAAGGGTGGTCTCTCTCTCTCTCTCTCTCTCTCTCTCTCTCTCTCTCTCGAGGAGGGTGGGCCTCGCGCTTGTTCCAGATAGAGAGAAGGGCTCGGTCGGCGGAACGGTCGATCCGATCGAGCGTTACGATAAAAGAGAGACTAGAACCGGACAGACGGAAGTCTCCTCCGCGAGATCGATATGTGTTGCTTTCTTTCTTCGACGTTCTCTATCTTCCTTTCTCCCTTTGGGGTCTCCTTGTCCCGTCTTTATACGCAGGTTTCTCTGCCTCCTTCTCCCATTTCGCTCGATCTTCTTGGTTCCGCGGCCTCTAGCTGCGCCGCCAGGAGTGGCCCTGTGCATCGTTTCCATCAGCTTCTTTCTCCTTTTTGCTTCCTCCTTCCCCCACCCCTCTAGGACGGCCGGCTAAGAATGTCGGGGAAAAATGTCTCGAGGGAGAGAGAAAGAGAGAGAGAGAGAGACTACGGGGTCCTTCTCCGCGGAACTTCGTATAAATTATCGTTTCGCCCCGGTCCCCACGCCGGAGATAATTTTCGTGACGTGTTTCGGGGACGAGCCGTTAGAGAACACGGGGACGAAATTCATTTTTCCCCGCGTCGAATAAAATTAGAGCCGCGCTCGGTGAATTAAAGTACATTCGTATTGGTGTATCAAAACGGCGACACGGTATAAACTCTTTGGAAAATAATTATTCTTCTAGTTACGTGTCGTGTTTGATGTAAGAAAAGCGTGTGTCGCTTCTTTTCTTTTCATTAAAAACATTAAATATTTCATAAACTAATATCCATATGCGGCTAAAACAAATATCATTATTAACTAAATCTCATTAAAAAGTCAGCGTCATACCTGGAGACCTCTCCCTGTCAATGCCATTGAGTCTTCTCTAACAGTTATCGTGGATTTAGTGTTTTCAAGTTATTATTGTATTTCAATACTGTTGGCGCCTACAGGCGCCTTACTTCACATTGTTCGCTACAAACGGTTGGCACCTATAGGCGTTCACTTCATATTGGTCGCTACAAACAGTTGGTACTTATAGAGGCTCACTTCACATTGCTCGCCATAAACGGTTGGAGCCTATAGGCGCTCACTTCACATTGCTCATTACGTCCTATTGTCCCACGTTTACTTAATGTTACTGTTACATGTTTAGTACGCGTACTAACAATTCAACACAGGGTACGAATAAATAAATAATATGAGTTTAATCCAGTGAGATTTAGTTTTGACGATTTCCATATAATTTCTGTAAAATGCACACTGACGAAAACATTCGTGGTTCATATCGTAGATCGCGTCTCGAAGTCTGCCGTAGCGAAGAGGTTAAAAAGTCAGCGTTCTACCTGGGGACTTCTTGTCAGCGTCGAGGAGCCTTCGAACACTCATAGATGATTTACTGTATAAGTTTCCTCTTCGTGTATAAAATTCAACGAATTTGCTACGTGTCGACGTGCGGAACGTGGACAAAACGGGGCGGAAAAGAGAAGAGTGTGTGGTCGAGGCGAATTCGCGTTAGTCGCGATACGAGAACCGCCGTGGAAAATAGAAGCGTGCAAACCCTGGCGGGGAGGGAACGACGGTGGCAGGGAGATGGCGGAGAGAGGCAGACTTAGAAGCCAGGAACCGCTTCGTTTAAAATCTCCCGGTTATCCCTGGTGCCGTCTCCTTTGAACCACTTTCTTGCTCTTGTCACGAGTCGTTACGGATACGCTGGTTACGCTCGGAACCTTTCTTTTGAGCACGATGCCTCAGATACAGGGGAAGTTTCGCGGAGCTGAAACAGAGGGGAACGTACGTACACGCGATTGATGCAATATACCGGACAAATTCGGGCGGAACGGGGTTCGGATGATATTAATTGTATCCGTCTTTGATCCGAGCGGATATTAATAACTTTTGCAAAGCGTGTGTAACGTTGACGCTGGAAGTATACTTTCTGTGTTAAACATATTTTCCTCCCCCGAGAATGTTTTTCTTATTTATTTCTATTCTAGATAGTAAGAGTAAGGAGTAAATTGCTCGTGAATATGAGTAATTCTTAAATATCGCTTCTTTTGTTAAATTGCACCTTCATTATTAGACTGCGGAAGTTTATGCAAATTCACAGTTTTATATTACAGGTATCGAAAAGTTCAAATGTGACAGAATTTTGCGTTTTACACTAGAGGCATTACTACGTTAATAATGATACATATTTAAATGGTATTAAACTGTTTTAAAATCTTCACTTTATTGCATTTTTCAAGTTAAGGAACGCTATAAATGCATAAACATCCACAGTCAACAGACTACTTTATTCGGTATTCTGTGCTTATTTTTTTTTTTTTACATTATTTTTAAGAGACGTTTGAGAAATGCACCTCTTCGGACCTATAATTTTAAACGATTTAATTCTTAAAATTAGTTATTCACATGCCTTTATTTTTATATTTAGTATTCCTGTATTATCTAGTTTGTCTAATTCTATCACCAAAAATCCGAATGTCCTTGTTGTGACCTAACGCAGGTAGTAAACGATTACAACGATAGTCGCGTCATGGGCCCGTGAATACGATCAGAAATCTGCCATAAACAGACATTCCTTGACAGCTGTATATCACTTGCAAATGCCCACTGTCCTTGAAACAGTGGTTTACTACAACCCAGCGCTGATTTTCAGGAATCCCAGAAACAATACAAGCCCCCAGTTCGTTTCATAGTACACTACACCCGCCAGAACATAAACACCAATCAGAATTTTTCATCCCCTCTAGCACACGAATACATACAACCAATCGGGAACTACACAACATTCGACAGAATAAATTCACCAGTCAAAGCGGTCAAAGCAGTCAGGCCAGTCATACATGTGCTCATGTATCGCGTTTCGTTACATTTGTTAAAGTTTAAGTGTTACCAAGTTGCGTCAAGTTATTCGAATTCACGCCATCTTCCAGCCAGTTCCGTGACATTAACCCTCTATAGCCCCGTGTGACTTTGAAATCACATACCGGTATACCAATAGCTTTTCGGTCTAATTTAAATGTTTGCCAGTATATGGGCACACATCGTGTTGTACAACCTATCTTCGATAATCGATAAGATTCTTTATAGCGATTATCAATTCTAACTCGAATATATTGGAATAATAATAACGTCTTTGGGAATTGTAAATTCATTGTTAATTTGTACTTAGAGGTTAATATTTGTTGGTTTCACGTCACATAGATTGTTTTTTATATTCAAGAAAAAGAATTCGGGCTATAGAGGGTTAAGTTATCGAAGAGCAGTGGTGAGTCGAGAGTTTATCTTAGAGTTGGTCTTTGGAATCTACACAGAAAATACAGTCGATTATTTGAATATTATGTGTCACGTGAGACACGTTGAGTGTTATGAGTAGCGTGTGTCACTGTAACAAAGTGACCAAAGTTAAAAAAAAATCGATTTATAAACAGTACGATTATGCGGATGAAGCTAAACATGAAAATCTGTTCTCGTCTGTTGCAGCAATGGAGATCGACGATGTCGACGACGATGACGTCGATTACAATCGCAGTCCGAATGCATCTGGAATGGATATATGCAACATGGGAGGAAGTGGTCACAAGGTCGGAATAGACGAGGAGCTGTTTAAACTGCGACCGTACGTAACGCCGGACACGATCTTCACACGGTGAGTGTTATACTTTCTACACAAGTATTGTCTCTCTTACCCTAAAAACAAATTCATTACTAGACTGCGGATTTTCTACATTTAAAACCAAATAGGGCTTTGTGCAATAGAAAAGAGAAAAAACTTTCGTCAGACGCAATGTGTTTCTTATTGTATTCTGAACCCAATAAGATATTTAAGAGAAGAAATAAATTCCTACCGTTGCTGTTGTAAAAAATTACTTTAAAGAATGTTATTTTGCATGAAAATCCGCAGTCTATTCATTACGATATATCCAATTACCTAGCTTCGCCTCCAGTCTGCATGTATACGGAAGAATTTCAGAGTGTGGCCGTATAACCGTAAAACAAAACTGAACGAACCAAAGAGTTTGCTCCCCTCCATCGTCACTTGCATGAGACGGATAACAAAATAGTTCTCGATAATTGTCAAACGATCGTTACAAACAACCACGACTTATTCATCAATGTTTAACACCGTTGAACCGTGTCGTCTGTAACGACCGGAAGCAATTTCTCGATGTCCCAGGGAATGCCATCTTTTTCCCTAACATTTACCGTACACTCGGAATGATTTTCGAATATCCACTTTCGTCTGAAATATTTATCCAAACACGACACAGAACGAATCCGCGATACACGGGGGTGGTGATGTCGTTTTGGGTCCTTTGAAGAACACTCGACACAGTCTCGGGGAAATGAAAGAAACAGAGTGGGGAGGAATGATGTTTAAAGGAAAAGGCTTGGAAAAATAGTTGAAAACGATTCAACCACGGCATCGGTATACTGGAGGGTGGAGAAGGAAGTATATGATGTACGCGTAAGCAGACATTGAATAAAGCTCGTACGATGAAAGAAACGTCGGCTCATTTCCATACGTAGAAAAAGGAAATCTCTTTTCGGTGCATCGGCGACTCCTGTTCTCTTTCTCTCTTTCGTTCTCCCTGTTCGTGGTACAATGTAATGCCAAAGTCCTCTCGTGGCGGGTTCGACTTTTTCTGTAGCCAGCACCGGCCGGATGCGCCGAATGGGACTCGTCCATAAATTCTCGAAGCGCCGGTAGTCGACGGTCGGGTGTTTCTTCTGCGTACAACGTATCTCGCCCGTTGCTTACCAACCCCTCGACTTCTTCTGCCCGCCTAACCACCCCGAAGTTTCGGCTCGAGACGCTTCCCCCCTCCCTTCGTCTTCGTTTTTCCTCCCTTCGCGTTTTACATTCGCTTCACTTTGTCCGGGGTGGAGGGGGGGGGGATGGCAGCCGGGGAATTCATTCGCTGATACCAGAAGAAAATCGCATCCATTAGAATTGTGTCTGCGACAGCCGCAAAACAGCTACGGGACAAGTTTTCTGAACGCGGGAACAACGTCGACGCGAACGGTTTTCTGATTCAGACGAACGTCTTGCGAGGGGATTGCTGACGAATTTGAAGGAGAATCTTTGATATTTGATTGGTGTTTGTTGGAAATACTGATTCGATAATGACACTTATTTTATGGGAATTTTCTCTAGTTTTTTAACCCTTTATTTCTTGACAGTGTTTTGTAGAATTACTTATATTACAATAAGATGCTGCCGTGAACCAATATGCTTAGAACCTGGCTAGGACTTATTTAGTATTTCTTTGAGGTCATCTGAGATGCTATAAAATGGTGTTAGCACGCAGACACTACATTTAGATATTTAAATACGAAATGTGAGAAAAATGAAAATCATATTTGAACAGTTTTCAAGTATCTGGAATAGAAATTGTGGTAAAAACATGAGGATAACGTAATTCTGGGTTTAGAGGGTTGGAGTGGAGAACGCGTGTAGATCTTGCGGAAGTTCAGGCCGTGTGATAGTATGGCTCTCAGTTGTACATAACTGTAGCTGTAGACTGAAAATACAGTTTTAATATTCCTGAAGAAATTTTTTAGTAAGTGTAGAAGTAAGACAATTTTAATGAATATTACACACAGTATTAGCATCTAAATTATGCCGATATTATAAGAAAATATATTACACCCTTGCTACAAAAGTGATTAGCTCGAAGACCGTGTTTTTCGTTTCCATGTTTTGAGAAACTAATATTTTTTAGTTGTGTTACTTTTGTAGCAAGGGTGCCATATGACACAGTCATATGGCTGTTTGAAATGAGTAATGTTCGGTTATACAACGATTATAGAAGAAACCTGAGATCAGCTGTTAATCAATAACTTTATATCGAGAATTTCCTACGCGAGCAGAAATATCAATTCCATCGTTTACATTTTCTATCGTATCTTTTCATCCCTTTACATTTCCGTTCATTCGCGAGTAGTGTACATTTCCTTACTTTCTTGACACTAGAACTACCAGCGTTGAATGTATAATAAATTAAATTGCATATGTTAATATACTCTATAATACAGTATACCATAGTATAGTGTAACATAAAATATACAATAATTGAAGATAGTCATGAATATCGACGAAAGCACATTTATAAATTTAATAACTGTAAATCAACAAATCTGAATTCCGTCATCTTGACGTATTTGGTAATTCTAGTGCTGCCATGAACGTAGAAGAAACTTCGAATGTCCAAATCCAAACGTTTCATTTACTTTTTTCAATCCACCATAATCCACTGGATCGAAAATAACTGTACTCCAACTTGGAGTATCTCGAAGTCTCTGTCGCGAACGCGTGAGCTTCGTCCCGTACGGATTTGAACGATCGGTCTCGACGGAGAATTCCGGTTGTTCTAATTCAATATTATTCCATCAGAGAATGAAAGCGTCGATCGACCAAGCCTAAAAACATTCCCCCGTCGTTACGACGGCGGAGGGATATCGAGAACAGTAGTCATTCGAGATTACCTACCGCGGAAAGAACTACCACGATCGGACGTGGCGGACCCCAGCCAAATATACACGGTGCGTCAGCGTCGCGGCGCGCGGCGTCGCGTCCTCCCTTCCTGCACCGTCCAACTGCCAGGCGCCTCGTTTGAGGTCAACGTCATTCGCTTCTCCTCTCTCCTTTCTCGTTCCCTTGCTTCCTCCCTTTCCTTCTCTCATATTCTTCACGATTTCCCCTCTCTTTCTTCTTCTCCCGTCTCTCTCCAGTGGTCTTCTCTGTCGGGCAACGCTCGCTCGTTCCCTCTCGCTCTCTCGGTCTGGTCTCGGACGAGCGAACTTTAGAACGAGCATAGGTGCACCTATGAGTCGCGGTTAAATAGACCATGCAGCCAAGAGGTCTATTCAATTTACTCCGTGCGTCTCGCACGCGGATCAATTTTCTTCGCGATTCCCCGTAATTAAAACTAGTTACACGCTGGATCCCGATTTTTTGGTTGACTCCGTAATTGGAAGAGACACAAAATAAGGTGTTATTGGGGAATTATAGAATTCGTTACTGTAACTTGCTAAAAAGTACTAAATATATGTTTAAGTTGTCCAGTTTTTAGTATAATAGTGTAGAAATGGTAGTCAGTTCATATTTTGAAATCCATTACATAAGGGACTTAATGCAATGTTCACCATTTCTATATGTCCAGAGTCGACTCATTATATATTTCATTATATTTTCTATTTTATTCTGAACCCAATAAGATACTTAAGAAGATAAAGGAATTCCTATATTTGTCTGTATGAATCATATTATAAAATGTCATTTTGCATAAAAATTCGTAGTCTAATTACAACGCTTACTGATCGCAATAAATCGTCCGGTGGGTTCATAATTTTTCACTGCCGTTCTTTAATTTCCAATATTAATAATTTCTCACAATACAAGTCCATAGCGTGGATGGGTTAAATGGATTCACATTATGAACAATTTTTCGAAACTCATACGAGTGATTATAGCGAAGCTAAAGAAACCTGTAATATCGACCGGATTTTTTGCAATCGGCGAACACTTTTCAAAGGGCAAACGCAGTTTACGCAGCCCGTAAGCTAACCGTTTGTCAACCGGCGTGTCGCGATTTTGCAATGATCTCGAGCCACCTAATTGACACAGCTGATTTATGCATCGCGGGTCGCGCGTGTGAGCGACATGCGAGAGTCGACAACGAAAGAAAAGGAAAAGGGGTACGTATATCGGTACGCGGCGGTGTTTCTTGTCCCGATTCAAACTTGATCTTGATCCCGCCGCGAGAAACATAGTTCTTCGGGGCTCGAATCGACCCGTGCGATCTGTTCCCCCCGCCACACCCATGGGGAAAGGATGCGATAGTAATTTAAATGTACCCGTGTATACAGAACACGAGAATGATTCTTGCCGGTGGAGCCAACGGGACGCCCAGCTGGGACCGGCAAGAATCCATCGAGCACCGTGTACAACGTCCGGTAGTAATTTTTATTCGAGTCGGAATTCATTTAAGTGCATACAAAGGATGAAACGCATACCATGCATAAAACGTTTGTGTTTAACCCCTTCCTCCCTGAATTGTTTAAAAATTACCAGAGAAATATTTTGTTTTATTTTTGCGTATATTAGATGGCACATAAATGATTCACCAGAATATTTTGACATTTTGTAACATTTTGACATTTATATCCTGGGCTCGAAGAAGAATATTCAGTGTCAATTCTCCAACGGAAGAATGATCAAAATCCAACGAGTTGTGGTGATTTTCCATTTCTTGTTTTATTACCTTTTAATTGTTCATAGTAAACAAGTTTTAATACTTTCTACTATTATAACTATATATACTAATTCTTAATACTTTCTTACTACTATAATCATTTCCAGTATGATCTTTACTTCCATCAGAAAAAAGAATATTTCTCCTAGGGACAATTGTTCAGAGTTCATTTCTGTTAAAATAACGTTAAACCAAGTCTGGATTATAAAAACAAATGTTGCTTTCATATAATTTATGAACGGACCCTAAAATCCATTATAAAAAAGAAGAATATTAAATTTTGGTTCATAATGTTTGTTTTTCAAATACTGGCAATTTTACTTTCTGTAACTATGATCGTTTTTCCATTCGACACTTCAATATAAGTGTAACGTTGATGATTCTG